TAATGAGATAGATCAAATGTGAGATCTAATTTATCTGTAGATCTAATATATGTACTTTGGCTCTAATTTGCCAATTCTAGACAATCAATTATTGAATCCGATAATTATTTTCTTTAAACCGCCTTACACAAACTATTTGAAACAGACTGTAGTGGCGGAACGGAGCGTGTGAACTGAACATTACTAAACTATCGACTATTTGCTAATGTACACGTGAAGTGTTCGGATGGTAACAATAGCGGTCAAGTAAATTCATTTTTTGTTGGATTTAAAGAAACTTATAGCTATTTTTAAAGATGTCTGAAGGGGCAAGCGGCAATTCAGGAGCGAAAAGGGTTGTTGCCATAGCAATCGATGGCAGTGACAATGCGAGAGAGGCCTTTAAATGTAAGTTGTTTTCGTTTATGTTTGCATTTCCGTATTTTCGGACTATGTACTAGAGCTCGAAAGATGGTACGCCTTCTTTATAATGTAAACTTAAGTAAACTTTTCAAGGTCATGTAACTTGAAATTCTCATGAACGCATAAATATATGGATATTAAATGATCTGCATCACTTTAAAAGATTTATAAAATGGTTATACTTGAGTTACCTTGACATTCATGGGGCATTAGCGTAGAACGTATTTTAAATAGGACATAAATCTACTTAAATAGTGAAAAATTCATATAAATTAGATCATATTCTAATAGGTGGGTTTTATTGAGAGCGATTTTCAGAAAGAAATATGACCCGAATATGCTCAAATTTTACAACATAATGATGAATTAAAGGTGATCCATTTTCTCGTTAATAAAGCATTGAAACAGTCTTGATTCTAATTCTAAATTGCCCTTAAAGTTTAAACGGAACATTAAAGATTCATAGACATAAATCTAAGTTAAATACTAACAGTAGATATATAGTGTTCAATCTTGAATTACTATTAAAATTTTAAAGTTGGTAAGCCAACAGTATAGAACATTGTCAGACTGCACGCAGTGCACGAGCGTACAACCGACTTAAGCACGGGTGCAGGCTGGCCCTGGCCCTTTGCTTATTAGTTCCGGTTCCAGTCGGGTATGGGTTTACTCGAATAAGATATATAGTTCGATCTGAAGAAAATCTGTAGACCTCGAGCCCATGATCCCGGGGTTGACAGGCAGACACCTTAACCACCGCTCTCCTTTGCTTTGTCATTTGTTATGTACATGTATGCATATGATAACATTTTATCTTTTTTATCCTATTTTTTTGGATATATTCTAGTTTACGTGAAAAACGTGCGAAAAGAGGGCGACAAAGTTTACCTCATTCATGCTGTGGAAATAAACAGTGTTCTCCATTCAACACAATGGTATAGCTGTAAGTTTGTTTTATTTCTCTCGGTATTAGTTTAAATTTTATTTGTATATCAAATAAGAAAATACTAGTTAAAACGTATAATTAGGTTTATTCACATCTTTAAAATGATAAGATTTACAGTAAGACGAAAATGAACAAATATTAATCAAATAACTGTCAGGTCATTGGCAGGGCACGGAAAACATTAACACATGTTGTATTTCAATTTTGTCTGGCAGGTCACTTGTACTTCAAGTACACCATATTTTTTCATGTATTCTTTGACCGTTGTACAAAACTATATTTCTACGGTCAGTCACCGATATAGGTACATCGTGCACAAATACTAAACCTTTCAACATTTTCAACATGTACTAGGGGAAATAGTTCTGACAGTAAGGTTCCGTAAAGTCAGTTTCTTCTTTTTGTAGTCGAAAACGCGTCACGTAACATCTAGATAAACAATTATAATATTTTCTAGACGCATTTACATGAAATGTTTTCATGTTTGTATAAAGTATTCTATTTCGTTTTTGACATAGTACCTTCCATATATTGGCCACATCTGCAAACAATCATCTCAAAAGCAGCCCTGAACGATGGTCATTCATGCCGTTGGTCTATTCAAGTTTTTTTATGGCATACATGTGTTGCTGATCATATATTTATATATCTATTCATGAAGTGTTATTGAATTTAGATCAGCATAATTAACATTATAGTTCCTTTTGGTGATGTTGTTCATACTAGCATTTAATCCTTTGTACTCGCTCAGTTAAATGTATGACAAAAATGCGTTACAAAACATGGAAGATATATACTTTATGGTAAATTCTTCACCGCATCCCCTGTCCAATATACGGGGTTATAAACGATTCTATTAGCTGAAATATGTTATGTAAGCTAAAATATGTCTAGCTAAAATATCGTTTCGACAACAGATTTGATATTGCACATTGAAATGATCGATATTAAATTCATAAAATTGCAGCAGCCATGTAAATTTAGTCTGCAGATAATATAAATGATACGAAGAGGCGGCTAAATGGGTTCGAATACAATGCATCTCTTAACTCCAGCAGTGAGGTGGTATTGAACCCTCGTGTTGCTATAAGTTTTTAACATCTGATGTTTGACAAAATCATTTTTTCGGTTTCGGCGCCAAATGACTGAAATTGTGTTAGTTCGCCGTAAAACCAATATAAACGAAACAATCAAAACGAAATTCTCCATAATTATATACATTTTTTTGTGTTTTCAAAACGTTTTATAGCATATAATTTACAATTTAACTGCAGAGCAAAAATGTTGAGAGCACTCTCATGGGGTTTGGCGTACATGGCATATTATGTAACAGTAAATAATTGTGCATTGGCCATATTGCAGACAGCAGTACATTAATTTGCAAGATCTTAACATCACGAATTTAGTAATTCAAATCATACTTAATAACTTTATTTTGATTTTCAGCGCCATATTCGTTCGATAAAGAAATGCTACATAATTTATTAGAGGAAGAGAAGGGAAAGATAAAGGCAAAGCTGGAGAAGTTTGCAGAGCTTCTTAAAGAAACTGGGGTAAGTGTCGACGGCAGTCTGTTAAAATTTTCCTTATTTACAAGAGCGGATCCATGATTGTTTACCCGGCGTGGGTCCCGATTTTCAACAATGAGTAATGTATATTCCAGTAGATGTTTGGCATGTTAATAGTCATGAGATACTTTTACTAGTTTTTGCATAAATTTCACGGAAAAAAACCCAACCTAAGTTGATATCCAATTCTCAGAGGGGTTCGACATACTAGCCAACTTAGGGAGTGGACTTAATCGACTAACCCCCGCTTCTGGATACGCGCATGCTTTGTTGTATTTTGTTGTTACAACCGATGCACACTGGCCATAGCTTTCGCAGAAGCGGTGGGTCTACCGGTGCGGCGATGGAGAATTCGTCGCAGAAGCGGTGGAAAAACATGGCTGTCGGATAGTTTTTTGCTGGTGTCGGTAAGTTTATGACTTATTTTTACGTTATGTTTTTATGTTTAACTGATAACACCTAGTGAGACTGGAGCCCACATATGTACTCTTCCAACTTATTACAAGCATGGGATGTAAATCATGACCAGTTATGCAAACACTTCTGTACAGTTTGACGAGGGGACGCCACTTTTGCCTAATTTTGTTTATAACACTACAAATCTACTCAAAACTATCCCTAGATACACTGGGATCGCATCGTATGTATGATAATTACACTAAACAACCATATTTTGGAAATTTTGGAAATTGATATTACCATTTTCATAAAAGAATTGACAAAAATTGATTACAACGCAGACGGCGGTGGATTCGATTGCAACACAGTGCGGTGGGCCCGATTTCATTTATGTCTTTTTTTACGTTAAAGTCACAGAAACTTAGGAGTTGAGCTCCAAACGCCTTAAAATACAAATTAAATATATATTTGTTAATCCTAACACATATAGTTGTTATATATATCAATGAAAGTAAATAAACGCTTTTTTGAAAACAAAATGACTCTCAGATATGCTGTATATCAATGCGCTTTGAACCAGCCTTGCTATAATCGGAGTCATTCGGGATAATGCGGGTTCTCACATTCATAGCGCACCGCATTTAAATACGACAGAGCTGAGTGCTACGCTTGAATTTGTTGAAATATTTTGTAAAAAAATAAAACGGCGATAGTTTAAATTTTTTCTCATATTGTGTTTGTATGTTGAAGATGAAGTTTGATATTGTTGAAAAAGAAAAATATGATGAAAATATATAATAAGTACCAGTAATATATGTTTAATAGATGATTCGTGTCGTCTGTGGACAAAAGGATAATGTGAACATATTGGAAATAGAATAAATTGCAAGGTGATTTGAAGGATGTGCGAATTTTTTCTAACAATTTTTTAAAATCTTTTATATATTTTTGACGTATAAATATTTACTTTTTCTTCAAACAGCATAAATGTAAGTTTTATTGAAACATATGATAAGTATATGTGCTGGAATTAATAAATATACATTTATTTGGATTTTAAAGCAGCACGTCTCAATATTCATGTTTATTTTCATGAAAAGAATTGGAAATGTATTTAAAAGTAAAATATTGTGGTGTGAACAAATAAATTAATTAACATATTGAAATCGGCACTTACAATCTACAAACATCACCAAAAAAGTGGTCAACATATGACAAAACAGTTCTTACTGCGTTAGTAACGCAGTAGAAATATGGTGATAAAACATTGCAAAATCATACTTTAACCGCATATAATGTGTAAAATACAACTTGGATCTTGAATGTTTCCAACTTTTTTAAAATCGTGATATATTTTTCTAACTATTGATGTTCTTGAAATATTTTGGCTCATCTGATGGTTCCCAGCTTTAAGGCTTTTGCAGCTCCAATGTGTCTGAGATTAATTAAAGAATAAATAAAGATATCTATACTAATTAAATGTTCATAGATAATAACATTGACCTTTATATTTCGAAACTTAAATGTACCTTCTTGATATGTTTTTTAAATCACTCTGGAAACAATAAATAGTTATAATAATTATAAACCTCCATAATAAAGAACGGATTAACAATCAAAAGGAACAGAAATGCACGTTTTATTCGATATTCCTGATGACAAAAATGACACAAAAAACGGAAGAAAAAACAGTTTCTGGAAATTTGCTGTGATAAATGATGTACTAAGAAAACTTTCAGATGCGCGAATTCTTCCCCTTTTCACAATATTTCTATTTCTAGTAAAAAAGGACAAATATATGAAGCTGATTAAATTAATAAAATAGCAAACTAATAGGACTTTTACCATTTTAAATTTCATTATCACCTATAACTGAATTTTGCTGATACAATAGCATAATGATGTTAATTATCACAATTCATCCTTTAGTATATTTTCATATACATGCAGTACCTGCTATTTACCTGTATTTTTTCATTTCATAACATTATTTTTCTCAATTTCTTAATTTTCACAATTTAAACAAGTGTTTGATATGCTTTACAGGATGTAATTCTAATAGATGTCAAGATAAATGGGTGCTGTTAATTGGAAGATACTGACATTTTGAAGGTTTTTTCATGACAAGTATAATATTCCTTCATACCTTTTTTAATTTCCGGATTTTGGAAGTAAATTTTAATTTATATAACCAAAATTTTTCCAGAAAATCGTTCGGAATTCAGAATTTAGAAGTTCCGTAATTCAGAGGTTTTGATTACATAGAAAACAGAAGGAGAAATTTCGGGACCCTGAAAAATGTTCGGATTTCAGAAGTTTCGGATTTAACAGATTTTAGAAATTCCGGAATTAAGAAGTTACACTGTATATCTATTTATATATATACACTCGGACATCTATTTGTATTTAATAATACTGTTTTTAAACACAAAATAAACACATTTCTCTGAAGTCAAAGAAAACTAAAAAGTTGTACTTCATTAAAAGTGCGCTGTGTCAACATAAACCCTCAAATTAGACTTTAATGGTGTCAGCCCACCGCACTGCGTTGCAATCAAATCCACCGCCGTCTGCGTTGTAATCATTTTCGATCAATTATTTTACAAATAGTCAGGGACAGTTTTCAAAATTTCAATTATATAAATGTTTTGTGAAAGTATCATACATACGATGCGATGCCAATGTATTCAGGGGTCGTTTTGAATACATTTGTACGTGTTTATTACCAAAATTTAAGCATATGTGGCGTCCCCTCGTCAAACTGTACAGAAGTGTTTGCATAACTGGTCATGATTTGCATCCCATGCTTGTAATTAGTTGGAAGAGTACATATGTTGGCTCCAGTCTCACTAGGTGTTATCAGTTAAACATAAAAACATAACGTAAAAATAAGTCATAAACTTACCGACACCAGCAAAAAACTATCCGACAGCCATGTTTTTTCCACCGCTTCTGCGACGAATTCTCCATCGCCGCACCGGTAGACCCACCGCTTCTGCGAAAGCTATGGCCAGTGTGCGATGTGTCAGGCATAAAGGTTTGAGTAGCACGTGCAGATATCTTAAACAAATATAAGTTTATCTGTCCAAAGTCCTCCTGTTTAAGTAGGATATGCATATTTGTACATGTTGTACAATGTACATGCAATTAATTTAGATGACAGCATGGTTATTAACTTTGCGTGCATAAAAAGGACCAATGGGTGGGCGATTCATGTTGCTGTTTGAAGGATTATAATACAAGCTTTCTGATTGGTCAATTTATTTCTAATTTAACAGTGTGACGGTACGGTGAAGAGTATTCATGCAGAATCCCCGGGTGCTGGTATATGCAAGGCCGCTTCCGAAATAAATGCTTCCCTAGTTGTTATTGGCACTCGAGGATTGGGAAAAATTCGACGCACTTTCATGGGCAGCGTCAGTGATTACGTGCTACATCACGCGCACGTGCCTGTGCTAATTTGTAGGCATGAGGATGTGGCGGAACAGCAAGAACAACATCAGAAAAAACAATAACCCTTAATCATTACTCAGGTAGTTGTGACGTAAATCTGTTTAAATAAATAGAGACTGTTTCATCTTAACTCATTCAATCAATTTCGTGCATAAATATTTCCTGCTCTATGTCTCCTGCCTTAACGTGACGTCACGTGTTATAATACAAAATTTGTATGATTTAACGCTTACAAAGTGCAAAAACAGTATAAAGATAATAATTTAAACGCTGTTCATGACAAGTATGATAAACTTTAGAACAAAAACGCATGATGGACGCTGTTTTGAAGAAAGTGACAAAATTAAAAAATCAACAACAACAAAACAATTAACAAAACAACAACAGCAACAACAACAAAACAACGTAAGTCTGTGGTCATAAAAGATATTTTGTTGGATGTGTATTACCATTTCCTTAAATTATAGATGTATGCATATTTTATAACTATATAAAGATTAAAACAGTTGTTTTAAGTGTTCAGGTTTACTTGTGTATGTTTACATAAATGTATTCAAGAGGGTTTAGATATGAGTATATACATGTGTATGCTATTGAATTATTTTCCTTGTCAGACATTAACTTAAATAATCGGAGTTTACTATGTTTATTTACTACATGTGTATGTCCATTCTCCCCATTCCATTATATTTTCTATCAGGTTGTATTATCCTTTAAAGGCACACCACGATCAAACTATTTTTTGATCAAACTATTTTCTGCGTTATTTTTTTTATATAAATATGTGTGGATATTTGAATATTTACTCAAGTGCGAAATTAAACTCAACATGCGAAATTAAATTCAACATGAGCTGTTCATAAATATTTAATTTTCTTATATTACATTCAATCATTTAATGCAAATGTTTTCATTTAATTCAATTTCTCGATCTAGTGGATATGTGTTATGCAAAGGCTTGCCATGTTTACAATGCTTAAAAGTCCACCTCTGAAATGTGTCAAATGCAAATTTACATTATTTTAAAAGCTCAACCACAATTTAATCTGCTGGTCATACTTTCACCAATATAGGATTTAGCAAAATTAGATCGTGTTGGGTCTTTAATAAATATTTAGTATAGCTATTACGTACTGACATGTCTTTTTTATTCGATGTATAAATACAATAAAGTTCAGTTTCGTATGTAAGCCTGTGTAAAAAATGAAACGTGATTTCTTTGTTGTAGAAACTATTAAAATCTGTACCAATAAGTCATTATTACTATTCACTAATTCAGATTTCTGTTAATTTAGATGAATAACTTTTAAACTGGATATATCTCACACATTTTTTAATAATTAGAGCGGAATACATAAAAAACGAAGACAATTTTTGATTGATGGTCGTTAACCATGCAGAAATTGGCTTTCTATAATTGCTCTTTTCATAATTTCATAATCAACAAGTATATCAAATAACGAGCTATAAAATGATTTTTAAATACGTCAGTGATTTACAAAACTACTCATTTTTGAGCAGTCATATATGGTTTTTTTACACACCAGTAAAGTGACTTTCTTGCACAACTCAGAATATATACATGTATTTGCACTAATAAGACATGCATTTTGTAACAGTAATTTTTTCTACGATCCAAAAATGTTTTTGGATTCATGAATGTGTTTTGTTTTTCATGCTATTTTATTACCAATGCAAAAAGGTGACGATTTTAAAGGGACCATCAGCTTGTTATTTATTAAATTATCATAGAAACAAAACGATACATTTTTGTACATGGAAATTAAACATGTTACATGTATGTTATAAAAATGTCATCTGTCCATAATTACCGGTAACCGTATATAAAAAGTTACAAATTTAAGAGGACCACTTTTTCTTGTTCAATGTTTTACCAATCAAAGTTTCACAGCTTGAATGATGCAAAGTGTATGCTATATAATAAAATTAAACATCGTATTGTATAGTCCATGTGTTAGTCAAGACTTTTAGTATGTCCCAGATTTTCTGTTTACAAAACTTCTTTTTCAGTAGCCTTGATATAATTTGCACGAAACAGTTAAATTATATATGATCCCAGATCTCGCAACCTTTTACGGAGAGAAAACGATATTACATGTTAAGTATTGTATTAAGTCATGTTCTTTGTAAAAAACTACATGTTTTTGTGTGTCTGTGTCAATCCAGACTTTGACGTGCACGATAAGATGACAGTGAAGAAATGTGTACTTTGTTTACAATACAGAGAAATTTAAACTAGTGTGGTATAATTTTACAGGGTGAACACTGAAGATGTATATCTTGGGTGTTTTGAATGTTATATTGGTTTACGTTAAAATTTTGTAGAATATTAAGTTCATAGTCTTTTTTATATTATATTAGAACACATAATTAAAATATATTGTAAAACTCAGAATGCGTTATTTTATTTTATGTTTATTTGTGTTTGAGGTATTTGGCAGTCATCGGGATTTGGTAAAATATTGATCATAGGTATTTCATTTATTTATAGCTCGTGTAAATTCGGCAAAAGTCGTCAAATTCCGTAACTTAGATACGTTTGAAAAGGTTCAAGTTGACAAGATGAATTTTTGTTTCTTCTGGTTCTGTCGACGCTAATTTTGTCCTTAAAAGATACGTAAATTGTCGGAACATACCGCATTTACATACGAAATCTCATATTACCTAAGGCATTAATGTCAATCTAATTTGGAGATGATTGGTCTAAAATTAAATTGACCTTTCCGAGAAAGGTCAATTATTGTCCAGTAAAAGGGCATGGCAATTTTATGATAAATTGCTTGCGTAAACAAAAACAACTGTACAGTTGTGTGAAAACACTGAATTGATGCAAAACTAAAATGACTGCGTTCCTTTTTTTCTGGTTAAGATGCAGTGTTAGAGGATTATGTAATATTATTGACAAGTATTTCGTGGTTTTTAGCTCACCTTGCACAAAGTGCAGGTGAGCTTTTAGGATGGCCAACCAAATGGCGTCCGGCGTCCGGTGTCCGTCCACATTTTAAATATTCTAAGGACATCTATGATACCGCAAGGCCAATGTTAATGAAACTTGGCAGGAATACTCTTTGTATGAAGCTCTATCAAGATTGTTCAAAGAATTCCATTCCATGCTAAACTCTGGTTGCTGTGGCAACTAAAAGAAAAAACTTAAAAAGTCTTATACTTCAAAATGGAAAGGGCTAGAGCTTAGATATTTCTCACAAGGCATGAGCTTGTTGGATTCTACAAAGTATATTAAAATTATGGTCTAGAGTTGAAAATTGGTCTCTGGTTTGGGGGTTAAAGGGTTTTTTTATTGCAAGATTGTATAGACTGTCTTTGTAGGGATAAATTGAAAAAGTGTATCTTGTATTTTTGTCTCAACAGACATTGTTATGAGGATTTTTCTGTTAAAGCATTAGAAAGATGAAAATGTTGTTGGATGTGAATGTTAATTCAAAACAAAGTCAATCAGAATAGCCCAAATTTTAGAGCTAAAGTGAAGTTGATTTCCCCATGCAATAATAGATTCTTCCATTAATTTCGTAATACCATCAGAAAGGAGACTGTGTCATTTCCGAAATAAAATGTAATATATTTTGGTTCTTGACATTGACTTGCACATATTATTGTGTAAGATATTGCACAAAGAAACGAAAGTAAACAAAAATGTTGTATTTTTTTTTCACAAAAAAAGCTGATTAAGATAAAAGTTTAATTTACAGTACGGATATTACTTAAATTTTTCCTTCCGGTTTGCGGGAATAATCATATAACAACATTGTGTACGCTGGTTTTACTGAATCTGCTGAACGATTTTAATAATGTCATTTATTTCATTCTGATCATAAACATACAATTCAAATCACTAAATAATGCATATCAATCAGTCTTGAGTCAACATTTTTGTCCAGAAAACATCTGTATCAATCTGACCTATTTAGAAAACTAACCGACCGGAAGTAGGACGAAATGGCGGCCTTGAACAATTGAGAAATTTTGTAACATAAACTCGTATTTCAAAACAAAGAAGTGAAGATGAATACAATTATCGGTGGGCTACGTTGAAACAGGTATTTTGTTAACAATCTGTGAAGTATTAAGGGATGACATTTAGTATTTATGTAAATATCACCTCCCGTGATATGATTTCTAAAATTTTATATGTTTGACGGAATTCCGTATTTTCGGCGATCTCCGAGGTCATTTTTCTGAATGACTTAAATCCGATGAGAAATCGGGAAGGGTGTGTGTGCATGCCTCATTAATTAGCGTGTGCACATTGCTTGATAATGCTTGATATATTATTTTAAATAAATTTGTCCGTCTCAGACCTGTTTGCACAAAATGGGAAATATACGAATCAAAACAATTACGATACGGAGATTGCCGATGAAAAAATGAGCTAGTTAAATTTATACAAGATCAGATTTGATTGGTCGTCGTTTTTTTACCAGCCAATGAAATCGTTTGTTGCATAGTCATTTGATGTCAAAATACATACATGTACAAATACAATGACAATAACAGTGAAGTGTTAATACTAACGATCTAAAAAAGGTGCAAAAAACAAATGGAGGTGGGAGTGGTTAGCGGAAAAGGACTTTAAAGGTGAAAAATGGGATGCTTGGTTGAAGAAACCAAATGCAATGGGCTTTTGTGAAGTCTGTTCCAAAACGATCAACTAGACAAATTCGAACAGAAAAAAGGTGCTTCTTAATCACGATGAGCTGAAGATGAGGACCACTAAAAGAATCTTAGACCAAGTAAGATCATTTCTCTGTGTAGTTTAGCCACTATCTAGTGTTAGCAACGAAAAGAGGTTTAGTTGTGCATTGTGTAGTTAATAAACAATGCACATTACCCCACCCTCTTTTTCTTCTGTCTTCCCCCAACTTTCATGTGGTCTGGGCAAGGGTTGGGGGCAAATTAAAAAATGGCCTTGTGCAGGGGGAACCTATGCCCAAATTTTTAATAGGTCTGGACTTGTAATTTTTTTCACCACTTGAATAATAGATTTTTTTCCAGCTGAATATTATTTTAAGGATTAGAACACGATTTTCTTTATCTATGTTTTTTTTTTAGTTTGATTATCTCCTTGTTTCAAAACTAAATTGACAATTTATGAGTGTGATATTTTATTTGATATGTTTTCATACATCTTTTATTTGAAAATTGTCTTTTTCAGGTACTGCCAGGCTCATCAAAAGCTGTGCACAAAAAGATTGAAAGTATGCAAGACCGCATTGCCAAACAAAGAGCAATCACAACTGCCTTTCTTAGTGAACATTGTCTGCCATTTTCCATAGCAGGCGATCTCTAATCTAACATCTTGCCAAACGTTTAGCTGAAGACAAGCCTGCTCTTGAAAAAACTACTCTTTCTCCAACCAGTGCAATGTACATTATTATTATAAACAACACATGGTGTAGCCAAATCTGTTAAGCATGGAGTGAAGTCAAAAGTGAAAGATAAGTTAATATCTTTGAATATGTATGGGGTAACTAACAAAAAACAATAACAAAGTACTGAATATAATCTTTCAGTACTTTGATGATAGAACTAGTCAAGTAGTAATGGATCATTTAGGATTGAGAGAATTCAAAATGTTTCCACATCTGAAGAAATTGTCAAGTCAGTTGAGAGTGTACTGCATCAACAAGTGGAAGACAATGGAAAAGGATTAAATTTAAGATATGAAATTGAAAATTGTAAAAAGAATGAACATAATTTGTTATATGGAATGTGTATATATTGCTAAAAAAGTATTGCTCAGTGAATTTGTGTAAATTTTAACATATCAGATTAATTACATCTGAAGATAAATAAAGCACTTGAGTATGTATCTGAGCCTTTTTTTGAGCTTTTAAATTCACTAAATTGCAAAAGCTTCCGAGGGCCTCCAGCCCCTGGACCCCTAGCCAGGGCGTTTCCCTGGACCCACTGGGGGTCCTAGCGGCCCCCTGGCCCCCAACCTTTTCTTTCAGTATTTTCAGTTTCTGTAACTTTTACCCCTGCATGTACACATGTGTTAATCACCTCAATAAATGTAAGTAAAAATGGAACAATAATTATGGTAATTATCCATGGTGCTAGAAATACTTAATTATCTTTATCATGTTAACTAATTGCCTAACCTTACAATAGTTATCAATTTAAACTTGAAAATCTACTCTAAATGACTTCCCAAACAGTAATTTCTGAAAACAAGAAAATGATTTGTGTAGAAAAATAACACAAGAAAAAAGTTATTTGACTCATGAAAATTTTTGGTCAAACAGTCTGCCACGGAAAATTCTGACCTTCCTGAGATCCCTGCTGTTTTTTGTTGTTTTCTTTAATAACATTTTACATGATTTAATTTTATGATTAAACCTGTGCATAGAGCCACTCATGTGAACAGGACGAAGTTTTTGTAGAAAGGGGTGTCCTTATATGATAAACCACAGATGCTTGGGGGTTAGATCCTGTCCCCAACATGATACCTCTGAGTAAACACTTTTATCAAAAAATATTTTAATATTTAAAATCAAATGGGATATCTGGTACAACTATAATACTGGTTTTCGAAAAATTTTACATAATCATATGCAAAAAAAATACTGTTTACCATCATGTATTGAGACTTGATTCCAGACAGGCAGGCGAATTGGTTGGGTCATTTTTGGTAACAGTTTTCTCAGCAACTACTCTAGAGAACCTCATAATATTATCATACAGCATTAACACATTGTTCTATACCATGGGTTTCGATTTCAGGCCTGTCACTCATCCACTTCATGTTTACTGACTTAGTTAAAAAATGGTCAATGGTAGGAATTTTCGTAACAATTTTCTCAGCAACTACTTATCACAGCCTATACAGCATCAACATGTAGTCACATACAATGGGATATGATTTCAGGTATGTGGCTCATTCACTTCCCGTTTGATGACTTAGTTAAATTTTCGGCATTAATTGTAAATAGAAGGAAATTTCCGTAACAGTTTTCTCAGCAACTACATAACACAGCCTCTTGATATTTGGTAATGTGACTGCATTAATATGTGATCCCAAGTTCAGGTCTATCCCTTATCCACTTCCTGTTTACCGACTTAGTTAAATGTGCAACATTAATGGTCAATGGTAGTACATTTTTGTAACATCACAGACTCGTAAGTCATGTTATTTGGTATACAAATGCAACCCGGCCATTTTTGTCCTTGACCTATTTTTATTGAAGTACTATCCAAATTTGTACTTCGCCTTGTTAATTATGATGTCATTGTTAAAATTTTCATGATGTAAACACACTACAGGGAGTGTATTTTTTAGCAACCTATATGTATACTTTAAAGAAAAGAAAAAAGAGGTATTTCTATACACTTGATTGCATTCCTGTTGCTGTTGGCCAAAAATACTTTACATTTGAC